AAGTTTGATGCAAAAACGCATGATCGCACCGGCTCGCCTGGTGCGTTCCAGCCTGGGTTTGCATTGTCCCCGCAGGTTTTTGTTGCTATCGCCTCCGGTTTTTTCGGCAGACGCTTCTAGCTAAGCGAACTGAGTCTAGCCGTCAGGACTGTCCTGAAGCACCACATTAAAATTTTAGATTTCTTGCCTTTCTGGTTCCCGACCAAGCAACTTACCCACCACAAATTTTCTCTGGCCCGTGCGTGAGGGCCACGCGTAGCTGGGAGCAGAGCATGAAGCCACTAACTTCTACGTGGACTGGGAACATCCTTTTAGAACTTCATCCTTCTGGATTTTCTGTTTTCCGAGTTAATGGCTTACCCACAGCTTCACGGAAAAATACGTGAGAGCCAGGCACACCTGGGGGCTGAATTTAAAACCATTATGTTCTGTATGGATAGGGAACATCCCCTTAAACTTCCAGCTTTAATGCTGTTCTGGTTCCGCAATTAGCAGTTTGCTTGCCAAGAACTTTAGCGGACACGTACGTAGGGGCTGCAAGGGTAAGTGCGCCCATTTTGGTGATTGTGGCCGGTGCCTGCGTGCAGATTAAGCTACCAAATTTTCAGCTCTATAGCTTTTGTAGGTTTCGAGATGAAAAATCGGTACAGAAGAACAAATAGGCACACACACACACACACACACACACATTAACCTCTTGACAATATGCGTTTTAGCGCTGCATAGGTGCAAAAAACGCATAAGAACGGTGTTGGGTCCGTGACGAGTTGACGACGACGCAGAATAGTAGACGCTGAGTAGACGAAGTGACGGGAGTGGATAGGTAGATTTATCCACCACACGAGTATCCAACGAACGAACAACAAACCAATAAAGAATGGGGTATTTATACAGGTTTATGCAGAGAGTAGAGCACAATAAAAAAACTTTAAGCGTCGCAACCCGATCTATAAAGAACATTGTAGAACGTTCTATCTCTCTAGAATTTTCTAAAAACATAGTGAAGATCACCGAGGACTCAACATTCCTTCCTTCCTTTGGATGATACTCGATTGCGATAGCGTTTGAAACCGGCCAATAAACGATAATCGACTGGAACTTTGCACCGGCTTGAACGACTTGAAATATTGTCCAGCTCAGTATTCGCCTGTTGAATTGAATTGCCCGTATCACGCGAAATGAAAGGTAGCATACTTGGATCATCAAACACATCCGGCTCGAGAACAGCAAGATCCATACGCTACAGCGGATGGCGCTTCCATAACTGATTGAAATGACGAACAATAATATCGCCTTGAACGTTAATTTGAGCCATTGTATTACCAGTAAAGCGAACAATTGTGCCGCCGACACGTTTACCGTTCCACAACTCGGTTGGAACGCGATCGCCAATGTGAAGACAAGGATTGCGGACACCGTTATGAGCATCAAATTGGCTTTCCATCTTCTTCTGGTAAGAGTTGAAATCTCTTTAAGCTTTTGCCGGTTAGTAGACGTCGAAGAGAGTCTTCGTTTTCCTTTCAAAAAACAATTCGCTTAGAGTTTTTCCATCATCAGTACTGTTGGAAATGTAGTTATACGCCATCACCGCACGATCCAAAGAAAGCGCGTCTTGTTCGGTAGAAGTTTTTATCAGATGAGCCATCTTTTCAGCTTGACCATTGCTTTGCGGCATACGAGGCGCACATCGAAGATGAACAATTTTGTCACAGAGAGACGCAAACTCTGTTGAGACAAGCTGGCGACCATTATCCGTCACAGTGATTTCTGGAGGGCCCAAATGCCGAAGAAGTTGTTGTAAGTACTCAACAACAGAATGAGCAGATGCAGGTTTCAGACACTGGACATCCAAAAATTTTGAGTAGCTTTCGACGGTGACTGAGAAGGCATTACCCTTATTTGTTTCACCAAGATCCATATGAATTCGGCTCCAAGGTTTTCCCGAGTCTGGTCAAGGGTGTAGAGGAAATTTTGATGGCTTATCACATATCTGAGCGCAATGAAGACAGGATCTGACGATTTGCTTCAATATCTTCAGTCATCTTCGGCCAGTAAAATGCCTTCTAGCGAGTTCTTTCATGCGGCGAATTCCAGGGTGTGCCTGATGAAGTAGTCCCAAAATTTGCTTTCTCATCGGCTGAGGAACAACGACTCTGTCATTGGAAAGAAGAATGCTTTTGACCATGCAAGTCGAATCTGATCTGAGTGCATATGGTCGAAGGTCAGGATCTTTTTCGTCTGCATTCTTCCAACCTTAACAAGAACTGGATCGAAAGATGTTGCGCTTCAGTCGATCCAAGCAATTCTTAAGTTAATTGCTGAAGTTCAAGTTCACTCGTCTCCACAGCAGCTATGACTTCTTCCATTTCGGGATCAACTGTCTCCAATCGTTGCTGGTCAATAAGACGAGACAGCGCATCGGCTTGGCCAAAATTTTCTGTTTTGACGTACTCAATCTCAAAATCATAGCCAAGTAAACGAAGAGCCCAACGTTTGAGCCTGGCAGCCGTGCGATCCTGTAAACCTTTCGTATTTGAAGTACCCAATAACGCAAGCAGGGGTCTATGATCAGTTTGAAGTACGAAATGTCGCCCCCATATGAATTCCCTGAACCGTTCAACAGCTGTGACAAGTGCAAATGCCTCTTTTTCAATCTGACTATAATTCCTTTGAGAACTGGTTAACGCTTCCGTCATGTGGAAGACGGCTTTAACGTTGCCATCTGCGTAGCGTTGCAGGAGAACTCCACCAATCCCGGTGTTGCAGGTATCAACTGCGACAATCAGAGTTTGACGAGGGTCGAAGTGGGCTAGAAGAAGTGGTCCAGAAAGTACTTTCTTG